GTAGGGAAACAAAGGGAAAACTTTCATACCTAGTGAGGACTTCAGTGGTCTCCTTTGGGCCACTCCTCTGCACAGCTTCTGGAACGGGCAGGGCCTCCTTCCTTCATGGCAGTTGCTGTGGGATCCTGGTTGCTCCTCCTGCGATGGCATTCCCCCGTGGGGGCTCAGATCAGCCTCTAGGAGGGGCTGTCTCTTCTGGGCGGCATGGGGTCTGGTCCCGCTCTCCTAGGATCTTCCTGTGCCATCTGGGTTCCACACAGGAAAATCCACAGACCTCCCATTGTCCACCTCACCCAGGTAGTTGTCCTCAGCGGCAGGAGTGGATTATGGGTCCCACAGTTCGATCTGATGTCTGGCGGTCTCTTCACTGTGCAGAGGGGACCCCTGGAGCTCGACGTCCTCCTCATATTTAAGGCAGTTAATGGGATAATTTAGACATACACATACATGCGCTCAGGGAAAGAGGAGGGAGGAAGGGCCAGGAAGGAAAAAAAAGCATCAGAGGGACTGTGTATGTGAGAGAGAGACTTAACCATAGATGTGGGTGAAATGTCAGGAGGGAATGCTTCTGGAACATCTCTTCCTTTGGTTTGAGAAGAAGGAGGTAAGAGGGAGCAGCAGGATTTCCCTGGGAGATAGAGGAAAGAATTTACAGAATACTGGCTTCTTAGAAATGGGAGGGGAGGGAGAAGAGAGAGAGAGAGAGAGAGAGAGAGAGAGAGAGAGAGAGAGAGAGCCAGCAAACTTTATTTGGCAAAAAGAAACAGGAACAGAAAAAAAAGGTCCCCCCCCTACACCTCCCTTTGTTTGCAAGAGGAGAAAGGGAGGAGGGGTTTGAAAGCAAAAAAAGAGGGGAAGTTGGGGAGTAAAGAGAAAGCAAAGGAAAAGGCAGGGACATTGGTGACTGCCTCTGGAAATGGGTTTTGTAGTTGCACAGAAGAGAAGGGGAGAAGAAGAGAGCTCTTGGGTCAGGGAAACCAGGGGAGGGAGAGAGAGACAGACTTTTGCAAGGCAGCTGAGTCACATCAGTGGCAGGGTCTCTCCTGGTGGGGAGAAACACACAAGGCACTGAAGATTTAGCTTTTGAAAGAAAGGGATTTGTAGCAGCTTGGTGAAGAAGGGAATGAGCAATGCCTTCTTTTCCCATCTGAAGGAAGGAAAAGATGGTACAGGAGAAAGCAGGAGAGGGAGAGAGCAAAGAATCTACTTCCGGTCCCCTTTTTCAGAGAACTACCCATCCCTAGTGCATTTCCTCAAAGAACAGAAAAAAGTAGAAGGGGCATATAATTCGGACATCACATGAATAGGAAATAGGGAAGTGGAGGGGCTGGAAAGGCAAGGAGGGAGCCAGGGAGAACCCTGTGGGGGGAAGGGAGGGGGAAAAGTGATTACTTCAAGGGGGTCTCCTCTTCTGGAGGAGGTAAAGGGTCTGGAGAGGGGTTTCTGGGAGAAGGGGGGCCTTGTGGCCTTCCTTTTGCATGGTGAAAGCTGGGCACAAGCTCCTCCCTCCACCCCCTTCCGGCTTTGGTCAAAAAAGCATGAAATATGAGCAATTTCTTCCCATTTTGCCCGTCCATGACAGTCTTCCGTGCTGCCATGCGGGGGGCCAGGAGGTTCCACCTTCCAAGGGCCTTAAGGGCCACTTGTGCATGCTATATTTCACCATACTGGCCTGCGTCAATGACCGTGACGCAACCCTGTCCCATTCCGCCAGTATCCTTCCCAAAGATGTTTCTGATGGGACAGAACGTTTGATCCTGGAAGAACAGACGCCCATCTCTCAGCTACCAGCTCCACAAACCAGTGGTTAATCAGGGAAGCCCCCCCAACCGTAAGGCAGGCCAGAACCTGAAAAGTCCCTGGATAGGAGAGCTCGGGGCGATCAGCACTTGGCAGCTAGGCAGTCCGAAAGGGGAGGACTCCCTTTCCCACGTAGCTCCCGCCAAGTCCGCAAAAAGCGAGCTGAATTGCAATTCCGGGCCTCAAACGCCTAGATGTTCGCTACCCCCAGTCAGGAATTTGTTACCGAGATCTAGAGAATCCCTCCCCAGTGGGCCGACTCCGAAGCTGGTTCGGAAAGCCTAGAATCTCCTCCCACCTGACGGCCAAGGCAGCCCGCGGTTGATTTCTTACCCGTCCGGACGTTTTCTTCCCCCCTTTTCCGCGTCGGTCGCTCCTCTTCCTGGAAGTCCTTGGATCAAGGCTTCCCTGGCGCTCCTTTGTGCTGAAACTCCGGGTCAGAGCTTGGGAGGAGGTGGCAGAGGGAGAATTTGTAGTTTTGGTTAGCTGGTCAAATGAAGGTCCGAATCAGGAGAGGCGCCTCTTTTCCCAAGCCGCTCCTCCTTCGCTGCTGGCCCAAAGAATCAGTCCAAGGCGCCTGCTTGAGAATTTAGGCTATAATTTAGTCTGGACCTCAAGCAGAGTCCCTTCGTGGTAAAGCCAAATGATATCGAGCTCTTTTGGGGGGCTTCTCCCAGTGAAGGAGATCCCTGGAGACCGCTAAAGGGGTCCCTGACCTTGGTGAGCGGCCAGCAGGAGCCAATCCAAAGCGCGAAGTATTAGCAATCAATCTCACCAGAGGCTGAAGAGGTACCAGCGACCGAAGCGTTTATTTCTGCGATTCAGCTGAAAAGGATGCGTTACAGGGATATTTCCACCATAAGCATACATTCATAGGAGTTACAGGCATTTTTATATTGTCAGAACAAAGGAAAAACAGTTTGAAAATCCCGCCCACCCTCCGTCAGCTGGCTTCGTCCTGATTGGCTGTCCCTGGAACAGCTGGGAGGAGGCCGGGCCGCTTGTCCCGCCTTCCCTCCAATCGCCGGGCGCTGTTGCTTCCAGGGGGCCAATCGGAGCCTTCCTAGCGCTTCTGGAGATGGTCCAATCAGCGGCCAGGAGGCGGGACATGGTTTGACAGCCCATAGGGGGCGGAGTGCCTGGGAGGTGTCCGCCAGCCGATTGAGAACTTTTGTTCTAAGCTGTGGGGTGGCAGACGGAAGAAACAAAGGATTTCCTGATTTCTGATTACAGATGTGTATAGGCATGAAAAGGGGCTATTGGTGGTATTCGGATCTCAAACTCTGTGGACAAGGGGACCCTTAATCACAAAGGAGCTTACACAAATACCATGGGTTGGGTTAATCAATCCTTCTTTCCAGGTTTCGGTTGACTTATCTCTGGCCCATTGTCTGAACTCTGAAAATGTGCCCGGAGATAGGATCAACCCCGGCCCATGCAAAATGTTAATATGAATGAATTTACTTTTGAGGAAATGAGGTTTCCTCCTGACAATAACCTCAGGTCACATTCTTTTCTGGGGCAAGGTTCAGAGGGAGGAAAGGTGGGAGGGGGAGAGAGTCAGGGTGCATCTTATGTGATAGATATCAATTATAAACATTTTCTCATGCTTCATACATTTCATACATTTCATTTCTGCCAGAATTATGATCTCCTTGGCGAAGGTGCACACGCAGGCGGAGGCTGTTCCTGCCCAGGGGCCTGGTTCGGAGTCCGTGGAGAAGGTCCAAGACGATGGGGCATCAAGTCAATAAGTAAAGGCAAAAGAATCTGTAAGGGGACTTCCAGGCGGAGGGGTGTGGGGCAATGTCCTTCGGAAAACTACATTTCCCTGATCAAGGGCCAGGGTCCAGTGCACAAGCCAGAGAATTCACAAAGAAGAAACAGGAACCCAGTTATGTGTGCTGGGTCAGGAAGCAACAGAATCCATTGTCCAGCCCTTGGCGAACTACAAATACTTGGGGAAAAAGATGCTCCGCATCAGTGACGGCCGACAGGGAGCTCTGGCGTGGGCTGGTCCATGAGGTCACGAAGAGTCGGAGACGACTGAACGAATGAACAACAACAACCTATTGTGGAGAAATTTGAAATAGCTGTTGCATAAAAACCAGAGCCAATTAACACATTTAATTATTATATTTGAATTCAGCATGTTAAATTTATTAAGAAACGGCACATTTCGTTTCCGAAACTGAGAAAAACTGAGTTTGTAGAACAGTGTGACTGATGAAGAGCAAAGTTGGCAGATAGAGCCCCATGACCAACTCTACGTCTGGGTGGGGTTTGTGGGCCAATGGACGATGGATGATGGGACTTGCAGTAGCTTCACTCACTTCCTAAGACCACTGTGACCCACACCTATGGCTTATCAAGACCTAACTTGGCACCCTAAGCCCCCATGACCCATTCTACATTTTGGTATGGTTTGGAGGAGGATGGTCCATGGAGCTATAGTTCACCTGCATCCACTGAACCCACCCAACATTGGATCCAGACTAAACTTGGAGCACAAACAATACCTTTCTCAGATAACCCAGGCAGCTAGTAATATAATATAATGCAACACAATTAATTATCTATATAAATAAAAATGTAATGTTTGTTTGTGGGATTAACATAACTCAAAAAACACTGGATGAATTGACACTAAATTTGGACACAAGCCACCTATGTCTTTCAGTCATGTTCACAGCTCTATGTGGAGCATGCGCAGTATGGCCTTTCGCTCGCGCTAATTGCTCCATTGCAAACTGCTTTAGAGCCTCCCAATCGGTTGTTCTGCGTGTACGCATGCGCAGTAGAGCCCGCCCCTCAGCCACTGACGCCTGCGCTCGAGCTAAACCCCCGTTCTTCACTCGCTCCATAGCCGGGGCATGCGCAGTATCGCCCTTAAGTCCGCCTCCAGCAGTGGCGCATGCGTAATACAGCCTTTCGGTCGCGCGCTTTTTTCTGAGAGTTGAGCATGCGCATATTATAGCCTTTCCGAACTGCCCCTCAGCAGCAGCAAAGCCCAGCCTTTCAATCGCTCTGTTGAGATTGCGACCATGCGCAGTAGAGCGTTTCCGAACCCCCCCTTCACCCGAGACGCATGCGCAGTGGCGCTCGAGCTCAAGCCCCGCCCCGGAGGCCGCGGATTGGCCGGCGCTGTTTCCTTTCCTGGGCACTGATTGGCCGCCACGTTGGCTTTAAAAGCGCGCGTTGGCCCCGTCTGCGGCTCAGACGCTTTCGAGGCAGCGGCGCGGAAGGAAGGGACTAGAGAAGAAGGGGAGGGAGGGAGGTGGGGCTCTCCCTCCTTCCCATGAGAGCACTTCCGCCGGATGTTCCCTCCGCGCCGAAGATGCCCGGAAGCCCCGCTGGGACCGGGCGCCGCCATGTTCCCTCCGGAGCAGCAGTTGCGACACCCGGGGATCCTGCCTGCCAACAGCGCCCAGGCCATGGGCCTCCACCTCGCCGGAAGCGGAAATGACGGGTATGGCTTCCAGCAGCAACAACAGCAACATTACTATCAACAACAACCGTTCGGCTTCGAGTCGCCTTCCTGTCTCCATAGCAACAACAATCGGATGTTGGGTTACGCCGGCTTCGAGTTGGACAGCGGCGGAAGTGACCCTACGCCATCAACCTCTTCCTTCGTCCCGCCTCCGTATCCTAGCAACGCGCGGCCATGTTTGCCGCTCGACCAATCGCCGCACCGCGCTGCTGCTTTCCAAGGCATGTCTTTGAGCGGAGAATATAATCCCAGCAATAGCCTCAATAATGGATACGAGCATCCGGGATACGCGGAAGCGGATTACAGCGTCTCCCCGGGGGCGGGGACTGGCTTGTGCGTTGCTAAGCAACAGCAGCAGCACCAAAATGGAGGATATTTCGAGCGGCCGTTTGTTTCGCCGAGAATGGCGAATAGTAACAGCGCATGTGCGCAACTGCAGCCAATGAGGCAGTGCGCTGAGCAGCAAGCCAACGGGAGTGGCGGCGCCGCGCATGCGCAGTTCGAGTTTCCGATCCGGCGCTTGGAAAACAGGCCTCATTTCTCCTCAGCCGCCGAGGCGTTTGGCTCTCCGCCGCGCCTGCAACATTACGACGCCGCGCTTTACGGCCACGCCGCCAAACGGCCTCGTTACGACCCTTGGGGTGGGCACCATCATAGTAGCCAGCATTCCTTAACGGACTACAACTCCCATGGCAACGAAATGCACGCCAACGCGGCGCTAATGATGAAGCAAATGGCGGCCAGACCTCAATTGCGGCCGAACGAGGCCTATGAGGCGAATTGGTTCGACGGCAACCATAACAGTGAGGCTTTGTACGGCAGCGAAGGCCTCAAAACCAATCCCAATGAGGCTTTGTATGGCAGTGAAGGCCTCAAAGCCACTCCCAATGAGGTTTTGTATGGCAAACCTCCCAGTGAGGCTTTGTATGGGACAGAAGGCCTCAAATCAACTTCCAGTGAGGTTTTGTTTGGCAGTGAAGGCCTCAAATCTACTCCCAATGAAGCCTTGTATGGCAAATCTACTCCCAATGAGGCTTTGTATGGAGCAGAAGGTCTCAAAATGTCTCCGTCGTCCTCCTCCTCCTCTTCGTCCCCTCCGTTAGGATTAATGGATTTTAATGCGAACAACAACAAACTTGGGACGCTTTCTCTGAAGGAAAACAACACCTTGCATCACAACAACAGCAATTTGCATAATTTATTTGGACAGAGCTGCCTGGCCGCCCTGTCGACAGCTTGTCAGAATATGATCGCCAGTTTGGGGTCGCCTAACTTGCATGTGACCTTTGGCAAGAAAGGAAGTAATAATAGTATAGAGAAAGTCGCCAAGGTCAATCTTAGTGATGGGAATAGTGGTAGTGAAGGCTTTTCGCCCAATCAGGAAGCAGGGAAAGCAGGGGGTGGGGCCAAGAGGGGGAGGAGGAAGCGGGAGAGCGGGGAGAGCCCATCCCCGGCTGTCAATCAGGAGCCCCCGACACCCCCCAAGGCTCAGAATGGGGAGGCTAGCAATAGGAACAACAGTAATGGTAATGGTAGGGAGATAGGCGCCCATAATAACCCAATGGGAGGCCCTAATATGGGCCCCAGTGGGCAGATAGGGGCACACAATAACCCAGTAGGGGCCTCCAATGCATTGGCAGGACCTAATAACCCAATGGGGTCCTCCAGTGGGCAAATAGGGGCCTCCAATACATTGGGGGGCCCTAATAACTCAATGGGAGCCCCCAATATAGGCCTGAATGGACAGATAGGGGGCAGTAACCCAATAGGAGGGCCTAATATGGGTCCCAATGGGCAAATAGGGGCCAATAACCCAACGGGAGGCCCCAATGTACAATTAGGGGGCAATAATCAATTGGGAGGCCCAAATAACTCAATGGGGGTCCCCAATGGACAGATAGGGCCCCATAATAACCAAATGGGAGGCTCCAGTGTGGGTCCCAGTGGGCAAATAGGCACCAACAATCCAATAGGAGGCCCTAACATAGGCTCGAATGGACAGATAGGGGCTTCCAATGCATTGGGAGGCCCTAGTATGGGTCCCAATGGACAAATAGGGGCCTCCAATGGACAGATAGGGACCTCCAATGCATTGGGAGGCCCCAATATGGGTCCCAATGGGCCGATAGGGGCCAATAACCCATTGGGAGGCCCTAATAATGGCCTGAATGGACAGATAGGGCCCCATAGTAACCCAATGGGCCCCCCAGAATCGACTGTAGGGCCAATGGACGAGTCCGCTAAGGGCCCCCCGTTGGAGGAGGTCCACCCTTTGGAGATCCTGCAGGCCCAGATCCAGCTCCAGAGGCAGCAGTTCAGCATCTCGGAGGAAGGGGGGGTCCTCAACAACAACAACAAGGAAAAGAACAACAACAAGGAAGGACACAACAACAACAAAGGGAATAACATGAACAGCAGTAAAAGCCTGGACTTGGACTCGCTGATAGGGGCTGCTGGATGGTACCTGGGGGGGGCACCCCCTTCTTCTTCCAAGAAGAGAGAAGAGGACAGCAAGGAGAGCAAGGAAGGTAATGCAATGTATATGAAGATAATCATATTTATTATATATTGTAACATGTATTTTCATCTCATTATGTCTTACACTTTTTATTTTATTTTGATCATATTTTTATTTTGTTACTATATTTTTGTATTTATTTTTACTTATATTTATTTGTATACTGATTTATTGTTATTTTATCACATTTGTACTCATTATATTTGATTTATTTTTCATTTTTATTGTTTTATTTTACCTATTCTTTTGCTTGTTTTATGTAAATATATTTATCATATATATTCATTTATTATTTTTCAATTTTATCATTTTATTTAAATTGTGTCTATTTATTTTATTATACCTATTATATTTAGTTTGTATTATGTTTCTTTTGGTGTATTTGCTTTGATGTAAAGATATAATAAATATAATATGTTATGTATTAAATATTTTTTTTATTATATTTGTGTTATATTTCATATACTATAATATTATTTGATTATTTTATTTATTTATAAGGAATAAAATATTTGTTTATATTCATTTCAATTTATTATTATTTTATATTGTTATTTATATTTGTTATATTTATTTGTATATAATTATATTTATTATAGTTGTTATTAAATATTGAACTTGGATGCGGCTACATTGTTTTTAATGTTTTTAATGGGTATTTTATAATTTAATGTTTTAATTAATGTCTAACTTGTGTTATATTGTTATGTTGTATGTGTTGCCATCAAATTGTTGCTGGTTGTAAGCCACCCTGAGCGCCCCCTCGGTGGTTGAGAAAGACGGGGTACAAATGTTTGAAATAAATAAATAAATAAATATTATATTAAATAATGTAAATTAAACCCAACATACCTGTTTAATTTATGATACATTTATTTAATTTGCTGATTATATCACAAGTTATTTATTGTTTAACAAACCAACCAACATCCACTTCTTTAATCAGGATGATGGGAATCAGAGTCTAAAGAGAGTTAAATACATAGATAAAAATATAATGTGATCAATACAATAAATTAGTGAAAAAGGACTTCTCTTTCTTCTCTCATTTCTTCCTCTCCATCCTGTTTCTCTTCATATTATTATTATTTCACTTTATTTCTTCTTTCTATACTTTCTCATTCTTTCCTTCCTTTCCTCACTTTCTCCTTCATTCATTCTTTTTTGATATGCCTTTCTGTTCTTATATTTTCTCCCTTCTTTCTTTCCTCTTTTCTCTCTTTCCTTCCATATTATTCCTTCCTTCTTTCTCTGCTATTACTACTATTATATCCTGTTTCTTTCTTCTTTTTTATTATTATAAATATTTGTACTATATCTATTTTCTTCCTTTGTCTTTCTCTATTTATATTATTATTACATCCCTTTTCTTCCTTCTGTCTCCTACTTTCCTTCCATATTCCTTCCTTCCTTGGGTTGTTGTTGGTTTTTCGGGCTGTATGGGCATGTTTTAGAAGCATTCTCTTCTGACGTTTCGCCTGCATTTGTATTAGGCATCCTCAGAGCTTGTAAAACCTCACAACCTCTGAGGATGCTTACCACAGATGCAGGTGAAATGTCAGGAGAGAATGCTTCTAAAACATGCCCATACAGCCCGAAAAACTAACAACAACCCAGTGATTCCGGCCATGAAAGCCTTTGACAATCCCTTCTTTCTCTCTCTTTTACTCTTTCCCTCTCTTCTACTATTATAAATATTAATATATATCCCTTTTCTTCCTCCTTAATTATTATTATTAATATTATAAATATTTGTATTATTGCTTGTCTTCTTCTTTCCTTCTGTTGTATGCCTGCCTTCTTTATTATTATATCCCTTTTCCTTCCGCTGTCTTTATCTCTATTCTTCTTCTTTCCTTCAGTATTATTCCTTCTTTCCATTTTTATTCCTTCTGTTTCCTTTCTTCTTTCTATTATTATGAATATTGTTATATCCCTTTTCTTCCTTCCTCTTGTCTTTCTCTTCCTTTCCTTTCCTTCTGTATTATTCCTGCCTTATTTCCCTATTATTGGTGGTGGTGTTGTTATAATTATTTGTATTATTATATCCCTTTCCTTCTTTCCTCTGGTTTTCTATTATTATTATTATTATTATTATTATTATTATTATTATTATTATTTCCCTTTTCCTTCCTCTTGTCTTTCTGGTTTTCTTTCCTTCCGTATTGTTCCCTCCTTTATATTTTTATATTATTATTATTGTTATTATTATTTATATCCCTTTTCTTCCTTCTTGTATTTCTCCTCCTCTTCTTTCCTTCTGTATTCCTTCTTTCTCTATTCTAATAAATTTTAGTATTATATTGCTTTTCTTCCTTCTTCAGTCTTTCGCCTTCTTTCTTTCCCCGGTGGCGCAATGGGTTAAACCCTTGTGCCGGCAAGACTGCTGACCAACAGGTCAGTGATTTGAATCTGGGGAGAGGGTTGAGCTGCCTCTATCAGCTCCAGCTCCCCATGCGGGGACATGAGAGAAGCCTCCCACAAGGATGGTAAAACATCAAAACATCCGGGCGTCCCCTAGGCAACGTCCTTATAGACTTCCAATTCTCACACCAGAAGCAACTTGCAGTTTCTCAAGTTGCTTCTGACATGAAAAAAAATCTTCTTTCTCTTCTTCTTATATCACTTTTCTTCCTCTGTCTTTCTCCATTCTTCCCCAAATTCCTTGTATATTATATTATATTATATTATTTATATTATATTGTATTATATATCTTTATATATTGTATTTATTAAATTACCTTTTCTCCTTCTGTATTATTCCTTCCTTTGATTTTATTCCTTCCATTTCCTTCCTTCCATTATTATTATTATTATTATTATTATTATTATTATTATGAAGAAGAATAATATTGTTATAACCATTTTCTTCCTCCGTCTTTCTCCTGCTTTTCTTCTGTATCATTCTTTTCTTCCTTTTTATTCCTTCTTTCTCTTCTTCTTTTTCTTCTTCTTCTTTTTCTTCTTCTATTATTATTATTATTATTATCATCATCATCATCATCATCTTTTTCTCTCTCTCCTATATCTCTTCAATTGTTCTTTCTTTCTTTCCTTATTCCTTATTCTCTCTCTGTCTTTCTCTTCTTCCTTTCTTTCTTTCTTTCTTTCTTTCTTTCTTTCTTCCCTTCCTTCCTTCCTTCCTTCCTTCCTTCTTATTCATTCTCTCTCTGTTCCACTGTTCATCTTTCTTTTCTTTCCTTCTTTTTCTCTTCTTTCTTCCAGTCGCTTCCTTCCTTCCTTTTCCCTTCTTCCTTTCCTTCCATATTATTTCTTTTTTTCTTTTCCTCCCTGTCTTTCTCCTTCTTTCCTCCCATGTTATTTCTTCTCTCCATTTCCTTCCGTCTTTCTCTTCTATTTTCTTTCTCTCCTTTTCCCTTTAATCTTCTTTCTTATTATTCCTTCTGTTTCTCACTCTCTCCTTTCTTTCTTTCCTTCCTTTGCTCTTTCTTTCTTTCCTTCCTTCCTTGTTATTCCTTCTTTTTCTCTTTCTGTCTTGCCGTTCATCTTTCCTTCCTTTTTTCTTCATCTCTTTTTCTTCTTTCTTTCTTTCTTTCTTCTCTCTCCGTCCTGCTGTTCATATTTCTTTATCTTATCTTTCCTTTCTTTTTTCTTTCCTTCCTTCGTTTTTATTTTTCTTTCCTTTCATATTATTCCTTCCTTCTTTCCTTTCCTTTCCTTCCTTCCTTATCCCATTCTTTCTCTCTTTCTCTCATTACTTTCTCCTGTTCCTTCCTTCGTTCTTATCATTCTTTCAAACTTTCTCCTTCCTTCCTCTTTCTCTCCCTTTCCCTTCTTTCTTTCTATTCATTCTACGTCTTCCCATCTTTCCTTCTTTTTATTTCTCAATCTTTCCTTTATTATGCCTTCTGTTTCTCTCTTTGTTCTGCCTTCTGTCTTTCCTTTCTTTTTATTCCTTCTTCCCTCCCCTCCCCCACTCTTTGGCTTTCTTTCCTTCTTTTCTTTTTCTTTCATTCTTCTCATCCTTCCTTATTATTCCTTCTTTCATCCCTCTTTCTACCTTTCTTTCTCCCGTTTCTTCCTATCTATCTTTCTTTCCTTCCATCCCCCTTCTCTCTTTCCTTCCTTCACTTTCTTTCTCACTCCTCCTCCTTTCTCCTTCCTTCCTTCATATTCCTTATCGTTCCATTTCTCTTTTCCTTTCTTTATCCTGTTCTTTCCTTTCTATTTATCCTTCCTTCCAACTCATTTTCTCTCCTTTCTTTCTTCCCTCCCTATCTTTCTTCTTCTATCTTTTTCTCCTTCCTTCCCTCCCTTTTATTTCTTATCTTTCTCTCTAGCTATCTATCCTTCCTTCTTCCATCCCTCTTTTCATTCCTTCTTTCTCCCATTCCTTTTTATTTCTTCTACTGCCTTCCTTCTTTCCTTCTCTTTCTCTCAGTCCCTTCCTCCTGTCTTTTTTCTTTTTATTCCTTTCTTTCCCTTGCTCTTTCCTTTACTTTGCTTGTCTTTCCTTCCTTCTTCCTTTATTTTCTTTCTCATTTTGCTCCTTCTTTTCCTTCCTTCCTTCCATCTTTTCTTTCTATTTATTTCTTACATTTCTGTCTTTCTCTCATTTCCTTCCTTCCTGTTTATCTTTCTCACTTTTCATCTCTCTCATTCTCCCTTTCCTTCCCTCTTTCTCTTTCTCCTTCCTATTTATCTCTTACCTTTCCTTCCTTCTTTCCATTCCCTATTTCTCTCCTTCCATCTATTTCTCCTTTGTTCCTTTCTATTTATTTATTCTTTCTTCCTCTTTCTTTCTCCCCCTTACTTTGCTTACATTTCTTTCTTTCCATCTCTCTTTCTCATTCTTTCTCCCGTTTTCTTCCTTCTTATCTTTCTTGCATTATAGTTCTTTTAAAATTTATTTCTTGCATTTCCTTTTTCTCTTCCTTCTTTCTGTCTTTCTCCCATTCCCTCTGCCTCCTGTTTTCTTCCCTCCTTTTTTATTTCCATTCCCGTTTTTTGTCTCTTCTCCTCCTCCTTCCCTTTCCTTCCTTTCTTCTG